TCTAGACTGCCACTTCGTAATCATCATTTCTATCATACACTACCTATCACTGGTTCACCGCTTTGCTTTAGCGTGTCCAGTTCTTTACTCATTTTAACGGTAGCCGACACGGACGAAAACGTTTGCATAAATCTAAACGTTGTTGGCTTGGATTTTAAGTTTCGTAGATCAGTGAGATCACTTTCCACATGCTTTACCTGGCGTTTTTTCTATATAAGCGTGCTTCCAACCATTTCGCACTTTGATAATGAATCCTTTTACGTTTTCGTCGGTCAGATTTTACACAACCGCCGCGTCTGTAGTTCTTTTTACCGGTATCATACTGTCATGTCGGTGATGTCCTTCATTTTGTGCGTGTTTGAAGAGGCGGGTTGTATGGAAAGAATATGCTGACAAATTTAGCACTCAACTCGTTACTCATAACTTAGTTCATCATCTTGATATTGAAAATGCCATCGCCCCTTCTTGGCTTTGAGGTTACCGTTTTGTCGCCAATACCACCTCACATTGTATGCTTCGCATTGTCTGATGCTTGGCATTTTCTGGCGCGGGCAAGTCGGCGGTGATTGTGATTTAAGAAGAGGCGACATTGTTCTCGGAGCTTCAATGTAAATATGTGGAGTGAACCGTATACATATCTCTCAAAAATTTAATGAGGCTGTCAGTGAAGTTCGGCAGCCGTGTCTTCGATGGGGCAAAAATGAAGCTCTGGCATCACCATAATTATTGCATAGCTGAAACTTGTACGCCAATTTATTATTCAGTCTGGAGGGAGTTCCGTAGGATAGACACAAGAATGTAAGGTACTGCCTGCACAGCATAATGACCGTGTCTGTAAAATCGGTTTGCACCTGTTAATGCAAGAATAGGACTGGTATTTGAGCATTCACATGAGTAGAAAGCAAATGAAGCTTTGGTATTTGCTCATCTGTAGCCCAGTCGACCTCTACTTTTGATTCCGGTCATAATGTTTTACGTCTGGTACCGTGTTGTGCTTTGTTGCTTTGTGCGAGCCATGTTAGGGTCAGGTGGAAGATACCAGGCGAGATAGGCAAGTCGGTTGATGGGGTCGAGAACCTTGGTCGACTGAGACTGTCTGGACAGGTACCACGCATGCCAAGTCGCTACCTACCTCGGCATGGCGTGTTGAGTAGGAGTCTGGCTAGGTTGGAAGAGTGCCCTGGGTGATCAGACTAAGACATCACACGGATAGATGAAGGCCACGGCTGTTGGCCTGACTCATGTGAGGGGACGCGCACTACCTGACTGAGTTCCATGTGGTGATGTGAATCAGCGGTTGAGGACTCTTAGTGACATGGCTGAAAGCTAGATACAGCGGCACGGACGTATTCACTCCCTCGCACCTTCCGAAGCTTGATTAGTCACCCTAGTCGTCATCTTTGGATTGTTTGCCCTTTCACACCAGTTTATCTGCCCTGATGTCGCTTATTTTCCATCCACCTATCCTTTGTGTACTGCTTTAACTTGAGCTTATTCTCATCGAATCGTGTGTCTGCCTGTGTTACTATACTGTTACCTCTCAATTCGACTCCTGCATTTAGAAATGAGGACCTCATGAGGGTGCTCAGACGGTTTCTCGACGGATTTCAAAACATTAATGCTAAGTAAGCACTTATCCTTCCCCAGTGGAAAGATGCCGTTTTCGGGAGTGGGAGCTTGGATGCGGTTCTGCTTCAGCCTTTAGGTCGCGGACAGTCACTCGTTTACGTTACAAGCTAGTCTTTAGCTGAACCCAGAGAAAGTTTCCGAGGAATTACCGCCGTAAATGGATCTCAAGATGTGTACTGTTATTAGGGAACGTTTGAAGTTTTTCCTTACTGGGGACAGATCTACTTTCACTTCCGAAAGGAAGACCATGGTAGTTGACGGTTGGGGGGAAATATATTCAGGTCGGAATATATAACGGAGTGTCGGATGCAACACTGGGTCACTAAAATGTGCAAGAAAGTTATCTTCACAAAAATGAAGGTAAAACGCAGTGGTTAGTTTTCGTGCGAAGGGGATACGAAATGACGACATTAGCCTTCAGTTTACCAGTGGCTGCGTTAAGACTATTTTCGGGGAAGTATTCATTTGCTAGTATTGCAAACTGCCATAATGTCGTACGGGGCCTCATTTCCAAGATTAAGGCATTCCATGTTTACCTGCGTTTGCAGCGAAGAAATTTGAGGGAAGTTTGGCACTACTGTTAAAACGTTCGAGATCACACTCACCGCTTCAAACATAGCATTGTGTTCAGTCGAGGTTGCAAGACAGATTGTCGAATGAAAAGCGGGCTGCTATCTTCAAGGTTCGTAATAGAACTATTAAGTTCGCTCTGAAATATGAAAAGTAAGGTGGCCAAGTTCAGTGACTGACTCAAAGACAGATGCCGGGGTTTCTCGGGTTCGGCGCCAAAGTTCTAATGGTCCATTTTCTCTGAACGGCTCTCTTTATAACTGCTTTGTTAACAATGTGTTATCATAGACAAAATAGCAGCATTAAAGCAGTGGTAGTGTGCATGATTCATGCAAAATGAGTTTCAGGAGTTGAGCTTACCGTACACGAATCCAACTAACTTCGCAGCCTCGGAAACCTCAGCTATTGCGTAATAATGGGGTTTATTTCAAATAGCACTGTGTACATAAGTGCATGCCTGACCACTTCGGTAGCCCGAAGATGTATATGCAGAAATACATCCTGTTTCGGCGAAATCTTAGCATCAATCTCTTAAAGGTGTGATTTGAGTTAGGCGGGAGTAGTGTAGATCTACTTACCCATTTCCTGCAACATCCTATCAAAAACATATGGTTCTCTGAGCCTTCAGCTTCGCTGGCTGAAGGGCTAACAGTCAGGTGTCAAAGTGCCCCATTTTCGTCTTCGTATTTCAAAGTCATGACTGGTGATTATTCGCAGATGTCGTTTAGAATTCGCGGAATGCACTTCGCTGGAGAAGGGCGCATACGTGATCCAAAGCGAGAATCTTTTGAGGGGGCAAGCGAGGGAAACGAAGGGACGGGGGGGACAATACTGGCAGTATGCGAAAGTTAAAACTACTGGGGATGATTCAGACTAGAAAGGAGGAGGCAAAGAAGTCACATGAAGATAATTTTCGAACTTCGGAAGTGCTTGTGACACTATGTAATACATTTCCCCGACTTTTAAGCCCTAGACAAGAAAGCTATGGAGTACATGAGAGGAGTTTGAATATACGCAATTTGATGACCGGGTGGGTAACAATACTCGCTGGAAGCCATGGCTACCCCTCAACCAAGGACTCGTCCTTAGCTTTTCAAAAATACGCCTGGCTGCTGGGTATCTCGCGTCTTTTGTGGAGACTGCATTTGGTGCTGGATGCCACTGCAGGTTCGGAAGGCACAATCACATGTTCCAACCTTTTAGATTAGGGTGACCTGGCTCTTCGTTTCCATTTTGGGCTGTTCTCTTACCATAGTTTGTCCTAATATTTGTCACCAATATACTCATGCAGGACGTTTGCCCTTTTAAACCAAACCAGGACACTTCGAGCTGGTTTTGTATTACCGGTAGCCACTTGCAGCAAGCCGCCTCAGTGTCACGAACGGAAGCTTGGTAGGAACTTGGTGGGCATAAATTTTTACCTCATATTAACGGCACACTCTTCTCTACCCTATATAGTGAGCAAAAATAGTAATTCCAAGCTACATGACAGCATGAACCTTGTGTTCTTAAGTATTTAATAGAGAAGGGGCATACAATGAAAGCCACAGCAAAGAAAGTTAAATAAGGATAAACATGGACATGGGAAACACTCCATGATAAAACCCTTGCTTCTTTCTATGCCTTCTGCTCTGTTTTTGTTTTTTCTTGCTGCAGCAAAACAGCTCATTTCTAAATGCTGGCTTGGTTGTCATCGAAACTCAATTATTTAAAGAACAGATCTTGGATGAAACTGACCTCTCTGGATGGTAAGCAGTGTTACTGCGTTCACAATACCTAACTACAGTAAACAGAAACAAAGAAGGTTCGTCGGGCCACAACTTCATAGTCATCAAAACCTAGAATTTGTTGGTCATGAAGGTGACCGGGAAAGCCTGACACTTACCGACAACAAGGCTACCACCACCCGTGAGAACGACGAACAAGATGTTCTGGAAGTCCAATAAACGCGTCCAAATGAATCTATTGTTTTTGGACGACAGAATCGAAAAATGCAGATATTTGGCTCTTGGTCGTAATATTCAGCAAGATTATGGATCTTTGATGTGAAATGGTATAAATGCACATGAACAATGCAGTTCTGGAATCTTCAGTGAGAAGCAATAACTAAACAACTTATGTATACATTTCCTCATGAACTTTTCATCATTATCCCAAGCCAGAAGTGCTAGGTGTCACAATGGAAGTATTAGCTTCAGGCTTTGTTTTTCTCCAGGCAAAACATGCGATGTCCGGATACAAACCTTGGCTTTTCGGTGATGCAAAGGCAATACTTCCGCCTGATGAACTTGCTAGATTTTTACATACTTGTTCTGTTAGGCTGTTTCATTACATAGATATAGATATTGCCTGCAAAAATGGCATATGTTCGTACAATTCATGATTCGAAATATATCATTATTATTAAGCATTCAGCACTTATATATTTTTGGCTTTGTTGGCCAAAAAGAGAACTCACTTCTACGATTTTAAGAATCAGTAACTGTCCGCATGATTGTGTGATCCAGGTGAATATCTTGATCCACGCAACTCCGGTTCCATAAATGTTATATTCAACAGCAATGTAGATTTGATGCACTAAAAAAACTTCAAGAGTTGCTAATCAAATGGAGATGGGTTATGCAGAGGCTTCAGTGCATCGCAGACGTGCTTGTTACGAAGCGTTCTTTTCCATCAGTAAACGAGGCGTACGTTGAATTATTTTTTTTCGAGAGCCATTTTTCGTCTACAAGGGAAGATTTCACCTGTATCTAAAGACCTAGCTGTCAATTGTTAGGATTCAGTGATTGTTTTAGCGAATCACAATTATAGTCTTCTGACACCCGGGGTTACAAGATCCTCAAGGCCGGGGTTGTAGGTAGTATTGTTCGGAGTAAGTTGACATAGTTCCACTCTTTGCTTCATATAGAGCTGGGTGTCTTTCATGTTCTTCCTATTTATATTTTTCCCTCCCACATAAGTCGTTTACTATTTTATGAAGTTTGCAAACATGGTTTAGGAAAATATTGACTTACAAAAAGATACTCAAATATCATCACCCGGACTAAATTCTCTAAGATGCTTTGGAGAAAGTTGATTGCCTGTCCCCATTACAGTTTTGGAAGCCACCACATGAATTCAAATAACAATAGTTTTTTTCAGTATGGGGATTATATCTACAGATATAATCCAGCTGTAGCTGAATGTGTTGTTACACGACTGCGAGTGGAAGTGAATATTTAATCCCTGTTCACTATATTAGCTGGCTCTAGCTTATAGTAATGCACTAGTGCCCTTTTTAATAACAAAACAACAGCATCATATGGTCATGTGAAAATTGAAGACCTTGGTTCAATCTTCTGAATTCTCTGGACCGAAAATACCTTTCATCACTGACTTATTAAACGGTGCTGACTGACTTTCCCGTGTGATGAATTAGTTTTACAGGCAGTAATTGCTTTGTTTTTCTGCTTAGGTGGTATATCTACCATGGATTTGTCTTATGATCGACGGATTCTAGGTCTCATTTCAAAATAAGATTCTCTATACAACTGAGCTACCATGTCCAGGTTTTTACACTAAGTAGTGAGCTAAATATTGTGTATGAACCGATGACACTGATTAGCAGCTCTAAAATTGGTGGGTGACCTGGAGTTCAAACTCGTAGTCCACTAGACAAGTTGAGTTTGTCAGCCGACATCAACTCGAGGTCTGGCATAGCTGCTTTGTACCTAAAGTCACCACATCTCACAGCACATTGAGATAAAAGACAACATTATGGTTGATAAAATGATAGAAATCCTGTTCTAAAAAGTTCTACTAGTGCATCAGAAGGGAGGGGAAGTTAAAGCAAATCACAAAATGTGATATAACGATTAGGCGGAGGATAATGCGTAAGTAAATTTGCAACGCTATAATCATTTCTGTACAATATCACCTAAAGCTTTCAATTCCGGTTGTTACTTGAACCTCAGGGTGGAAGCTTACCTTTCCTTACATGACTGACTAACAGTCAGAAACTTCATGGACTGATAGTATGATTTGATCTCACTCCCTTTGTCTGTTTTGAAATTTTACTCTTCTTCAGGTAATATCGCACGTTGGGTCAAATAGTGACTAGGCGTGCGTAATACTTGTTCCACATCTGGGTCAATGCAGGTTTATGCTGTCTTTAGCTGACTCAACACCCTTCACCAAACTATACCAAAACCCTACATGGCAAATGTGGTGGTCCCGCAAAACGAACCATTGTACAGTACAATCGACACTTAATAAGCAGTCGGACATGACATCGGTGTCATTGATAGGGTCAGTTAGCAAAAGCTAATGAATTTTGAGGGAGTTGTGGGGATTTGGAAACATTTCAAGTTGTTATTCATCGTAGACTGACGTCAGTTGGAGGAAGAAAGGAACGGTAACGTGCTGGCCAGGGGTTCGATCCCCGACGGGGTCGTGGGTGCGCTCTGCTGAGGAGTCCCATACTAGGACGAAACAGCCATCCAGTGCTCCCAGGTTTTCTTTGTTCCTCCAACTGATGTCAGTCTACGATGAATAACAACTTGAAAAGCTAATGAGGCTTTTCATATGCGTACTGAGATTTCGTCTGATGTATCCATCGTGACTGATGCTTCCGAAATAAGTAAGGTTGTCAACATGGTCAACCACCTAGTTCTGTATTGCCAAGCGAGGTATCGATACCGGTTGGTCCTGAATCAAAAATCTACGTTCGATGAACTCATCCTGGACATGATAATTGTATCTACAAGCGTCCAGAAAATTGCATCTTATCAGTCTTTATGTCCAAGGAATGTCATCGGTTGACCAAGAAGTTGATGGTCTAGACCGGTTTGCTACATCACTGTCTTCCGTATTTTATTAAACCAGCAATGTATTCGTAGCCATCAGTTGTTGTAGGTGCACAAAATTAACTATACTTATAATCCAGTGTCCCGAATATAACAAATAATGGTTAGAAGTCCTATGAAGCAGTATGAATCTTATATTGCTGGTGTTCCTAACCAAGCAAGACATTTCTGTTCATCCTTCATATTTATATAGTTTTGCTCAGTAACCAATAATCAGCTAGTCATCATCAATGTTTCTCATTGATTGTTATTTTTAGCCTAGCGAATTCAGCCCTGCTTCTGACCTGACATAATTTACAAAGAAAAGCATTATGGCTTCGGCCATTCCTAGGAAGTTGGAAACTGTTGCTACCGACCGTGCCGAAAATCGTCAAGATGAGTATCAGTATTCTAGGAATGCAAATTCAGTCGCAATCACTAAAACCACAGCATCTCCAGAGAGTGTTGATTATTCACTGTATTGTGGTATTCGCAGATGGCGTCCTTCTTGCCTGCGTAGTACTGGGAACATCCAAGTTTTCCTTGTTGCTGCCTGCTTCATATCCTGCTTACAGGCTGCTTTCTCTGGTTATACAAGCTCTCAGGTGACTACTCTAGAAAAACGCTTTGCTATTGGCAGCAGTGTTATAGGAGTGATCAATTCATTTTTCGAAGTTGGCTACATTTTTTCCGTTATATATGTCAGTTATGTTGGAAGTCATGGTCGAGTGCCTTTGTGGATATCAATAGGACTTTTTGCAATGTCTAGCGGAGCATTTCTGTGGTCCGTACCTCATTTCATCTTTTTTGATAAAAGCAAAACAAGTTCGATTGCATTAAGTGAACAGCTCTGTGTGTTTTCCGATAACTCAAGTACTTGTGCTCAAGGTTGCGATACGGATTCCTTGCAAGGGTGTTCCGAATCCTCTTCCATGGGCTATGCTTTTCTTCCTATCTTTATTATTGCTCAACTGTTAATCGGTGCCGGTTCAAGTCCAATCCTAACTCTAACACCACCTTTCATCGATGACCATGTACCATCTTCTAAAGCACCTCCTATGATCGGTAGGTTTCAATTACTTTTCAATGCTTACTCATATTCTGTGCCTAATAATCAAATATATTAAGTTCCTGTTTTAGTATCTTGAGATTAACACATGTCTACCATATTCGGTTGTACTTGCAATAAATTTAAAGTAAGTAGTGTAACGACGGGATGCTGGAAAGCTTGTAGTTCAATCAAGAAGTGAGTAATATGGGAACATGAAACTTTATTCGTTAAGTCAATCTTAAAATAAGTATAATTTGCATGTCATGTGTGGGATTAAAGCAACCATCTCTGAAATTTGAGTTATTTTACCGAGGATACTGCTCAAAATTTGGGTTCTGAAAGTGAGAAATAAATATGGTCTAGGGTAGTGTACGGCCTTCGCATCTGACTCACAAATTCGTCTTATCAACCTTGTCAACATGTGTGCTATCTTGTTACAAAAAAACCCATCAGAATGATCAGATCAAAAATGGTGCCTAAATGTGGAACTTCTCGAGAGCTGTAGGTTTCTTGGTTTGGTTCAAGAAGTTCATAAGTCGTTGATTGGAGTACGTAAAATATTAAGAAAAGAAATCGTCTAAAATTGCACTGACTTACATCATCTTTATTCAACCCTTAAATATTCCTTCAAGTTGCTTTCTTCTATGTTTATTTCTCTCTTGCACCCCGTTTTCCACTGTATTTCGTTTCTAGTTGTAACAAGCTGATAAGTTGTTTTTCAGCTTCTGATGTATTGCATATTCCTCTGCTTCTGTCAATGGTTGCGGTGCCAAAAGGCAAAGACAGAATAGTTTTTTAATTTTAGTGATAATCGCCTTATTCCAAACAACATGTGTGATACAGTGTGGAATTCTCAGCATGTAATATTTCAGCACGTTCATTCTCTGTACAATATTTGTAGACGAAATAATTATTGCATCTGACTAATGTTAATAATAACAGTGTTAAAGGCAGTAATGGGAAACAGGCAGCTGGTGCTACATTAGTCCGGTTTAGACTGGTGAATGAATAGCAAATCGAGCGTAATTTTAGTGGTAGTTCATTCTGTCGGTACGAAAATCTGCAACTCGACATAGGTATCCTATGAACAGTAATGTACTATAGTTTTGAGCTTTTATAAATCCATTTCCATCTTGCGTAAAGTTTATTCGTTGTTTTGTTCTTGGTTTAATAAATATGTTTGAAAATATTTTAAAAATGTGCTAGAGTATATGGTACGTTTGGAAGGCATATTTAAAGCATCAAAACAAATTGGAAGGGAAGAATTTGATAAAGAAAATCGATGGAAAGTTTTTGATAGTCCAAGGTTTAAGCAGTCCGTTTTAACGCTACCGAACTTTTTTTTAGCATACCCGAGTAGTCACTCAGTAGTCGAGTTCCAAAGATACTTGGAAAATCACTCTGGTAATTATTTTGGCTTTCATAGGACTTTGCACACATCTGAATTATGTATTACGAAGTTTCACTCCTAATTTCTGTTCTCTTGAATATTACTCACTGCTGTCATATTTTCTAATGGAATACCTCTAATCACTATCCATTTTCTTTTACTTTTATTACCGTTATAGCTTCACAGTATGCTGCAGCAGCTATGGGTCCTGTCATAGGATATGCTTTAGGAGCTTTTTTACTACAATATCCAGCTGATATTTTGAGCTCTGATAGACCTTTTTCAATTGGTCCACAAGATCCTGGTTGGATTGGTGCATGGTGGGGTGGATTTATTTTATTAGGTCAGTGATTAGGGTATTTTCGTTTTAATAATTACATTATTATTATTTGTCCTTTGGGTCCCTAGTGGAACATAGGGTTTCAGTTATACGTCTCCATTTCACTATCTTCTCTGCAGTCTTTCTAACCTGGCTCTACGACTGCCCACAAGCTTTCATTTCTTCCTCACATCATCTCCTCCGTGTCACCCTTGGACACCCAACTCGTCGTTTTCCATTTGGATTCCACTCGACGGCCTGGCGCGTGATGTCCCCGAATGGTTTTTACAGTGTATGCCCGATCTATCTCCCTTTCCTTCTGCATATTTGTTGGGCGATAGGTTCTTGGTTGGTTCGTTCCCAGTGTTCCTTGTTGCTTATTCTTCCTGACCATCTCATCTCCAGTATCGAATGAGTGTAGGTGGCAGCTGTTGATGAATGTCTGTGGTTTGTTGGAAATGCTTTCCGTGACTCATCAAGTCTCTCAACTATCACATAGAAGCACTGACTTGACATTGGTGTTGAAAGTCCGGATGTTGTTGACACTTTATGCTGAGTGGAGTATATCTTTACACTGATTTCAGGTTAATTAATTGCTGTCTTGCTGTGCTTCTGATCCTGGCTTTGACACCCTAATCTGTGCCACCGCCTGTAGTTGAAATGCTTCTGCCTAGGTATGTGAAATGAGGCAACTTCCTTTGGATTCCTCCCATTGGTGGTGATTGGTACTTGTTGTTGTTGTTGTTGATTGAGTATCTTCATCAGCTCTGTCTTCTCTATGTTCACCTGAAGGAAGTCCCGTCTTCCTTCGCTGTCTTACCTCTCCTTCCAACTTGTTGTTTCTTGCTTGTAGATCTTGGAGTTTGTTCGACAAGACATTAGAGGTAAATCATCGTTGTCGGCGAAATCCAAATCTTCTCCTGGGGTCTTGTCATCAGTCCAGCCAGCGTATACCCATCTCTCTCCTCACGGTTTGTTGCATGATCTAGTCGAGTCGAGTGGACCACAATCAGGAAGATGATGGGTGATAGTAGGCGGCAACCTTGTCTTACCCCTGCCTGTCTTCACTTTGATAGCAACACTGAGCTTTCGGTTGTGAATAACTTGGTATATAGCCTCATGATAGAGCATATAGCTGTTGAATGAGGTTGATAGGAGTCTGTGTGACTGAAGCCGTGGTGTTGAAGTAGCTGCCTACCAAATTACTTCTCGGTCGATGCTGTCGAAGGCCTTTTGAAAATCGATGAATTTGAGGTTGAGGTATAGAGTTGACTGGCATTCTGTGCTCTGTTCTATGATGATGCGTAGCGTAGGGTTGCAATTTGATTTGCACATGATTTATACGTGCTGAATCCAGCCTGTTGTGGTCGTAATTTTGAATGCAGAGCATTATTTAGTCTCTCTCTCTCTCTCTCTTCAGGATGATATGGCTTAATATTTCTCTTGGTGTGGACTGCAGGATGATTCCTCGCCAGTCCTTGCAAAGACTTAGGTCGTCTTTCTTAGGGAGTTTGGCAAGGTAGGCATTCTTCCACTCAGCAGGTACTTTTCCTTTCTTCTTTGGAAACCTTCTGCAGTAGTGGTGTGGTGTGAGCATGTCCGCTGTTGTCTCTGCGTCTGTTTTCAGTGCTTCTGGAGAAATTCCATCTGGTCCTGCTGCTTTCCTGGCTTTCAGTAACTTTATGGCATTCAGGACTTTGCTTTTATCGGAGGGCTTGTGTTCACTGATAGTTCTGTGGCTAAGCTGCTAGTGGTATTTCTGGACGAGTTTCAGGTGGTGATGGTAGTCTATTCAAGAGTTTTCTGAAGTAATAAGCCCATCCTTTTTTATGTTTCTCCTCTTTGGTAACTAGCTTTCCTTCACTATTTCTCATTGGTTTCATCTGCGTTGATCTCTTCCTAGATAGTAACCTGGTTATTTGATGCAAATGATGTTGTCAGGTCTCTCCTACCAAGAGCCTGCAGCCTGTTCTGCTTCAATTGCCAGTGTGTTGTAGAAGTGTGTTTTGTGTTTGCGCGCACTCTTCTTCACTTCTTTATCCATTGTAGTGTTTTATACGTTTTATACAGTTCCTCTTTTCGTTGTTCATCCCTGCACTGCACTGGTTCATCTTCTACTTCTGCATCATCCTCTCCTATATCAGCTTCCGTGTGTGCGTGGAGGTCATTTCCCTGTCTTTTTTTTCCTTCTTCCTAACACGGTTATGCAGGTTTCCTTCCACATCTCTTTCAAAGAGTTCCAGTGTTCTTCCATACCGGTTCCTCCAGAGATGTTGCTTAATGTCTCTCATTTCGTTCTGATGACTGACAGATGTCAAGATGTCGTTCGTCGTGTCGTCCTTCAGTTTCTGTTCTGGGTGTTGAACTTGAACTGTGGTCTATCATCACCAACTTCTTTGTATTGAAGGCGTTCAACTTGATTCGGAAGGTAGGTTCCTTGCACTAGATAGTGCTGTGAACCTACATCTGCTCCTTTGGGATGTTGTGTCCAGTTGGCTGCGTCTCCACCTCCACTTCTTCAGGTCAAAATGAAGTCGATCTGATTTTTAGTATATGCTGGTGTCTGGTGAACTCAAATTCATGTCGCTCTGTGAATATCCCTGTGCTTGTACACACTATCTCCAACCAGCATATCACTGAATATGCAGAAGTCTGAAAACAGTTCTCCATTCTCATTCATCATTTCACCGAGTGCCTATCGACCCATGATTGATTCTCTTCCTCTGTTGTCCGCTCTCAGTTTCGCATTCATGTCACCCGTCAGAATTTTAATGTCGCGAACTGAAGTCTTGTCCAGTACTGATTGCAGTTGTCTATAGAATTCCTCCTTCTCTAGATCTGTATTATTTATTGGGGCGTAGCATTAAATGATTGTGAGTTTCCTTCCTTTTGAGTTGAACCTTGTTGTCATGATCCTGGAGGAGACTGGTTCCAACTGCATGAGAGAGAGCCTTTGATGCTCTTGCAGACATCATGATAGCCACTCTAATACTCAGTGTGCTCGTGGTTGTCGTCTGGGTGACAATATCGGAGTAGATTATTGACTCTGCAGTTGAGTTTAGAGAGTCCACTTCAATTCCATCTGCTCTCGCGCATTCCTAGCCTAGGACTTCTATGCCATATCTTCTAATTTCTTTTGCAATCTGGACAGCCTTGCCAGCCAGCTTCAGACACTGTGTGGACATTCCATATCCCCATTCTTACTATTGGTTTCATTGAGGGAAGAGAAAACGCATCGGCCAATTGGCTTCCTGAAGGCTTTCACCAACTGGCGTCATTTCGTCTCCGATTCCATCAAGGAATAAGTTTAGTTTTCTGTTTTATATTTTCTTTGTGCTTTGAGGTTTTTTTAGCGATTGGATTGGTTTTCCGGGGTAGGGTTACTAGTCCTATGTCCAACCTTCTCTCTTTATCCGGGTTTATAACCGGCTAGTAAACTAGTGAACTGGTAAACTAGGTGTGGTTTATAATTAAATTATTGAATCTTTTTAAAAATGATTCTTCAATCAGCTGTAACTTGTATCTAACTCATAAGTGTATCAAAGCCTTCCCTAATAATTTATTCACTTTTTAAAATGAGATTGACAACCAGCTTTTGGAGCTGCGGAATAACATTCGTTTTGAACGCCTTAACTGTAAGGGGCTTATATGAACTATGCGGTTCTAGGTTCTAAATAAAATACTAAAAATGGCTGAAAGTGGACCTACTTTCGTTTTATAATGTCAGAACCTGGTGCAGTCGTTTGTTAGTTTGTCTAAGATACTGTCAATCATTTTATGTCTTGTCTGATTCGAGAGCATCGGTGTCTTGTTTGTCACGAAACACAAATCAACTGGATATTATTGTTAGTCCGTGAATGTTTACTTAGGTTCTGACTATACTGCATAATGACTGAAGCTACCACTCCTCATAGCGCATCAAGATACAAGATGGCAAGTTGTAGGTAGATAAGTTGGAAAAAATGTTAAAAGTCGTAGATAGTTATGAGAAGAGAGGAAGCAAATAAAGAAGTGTGGCATTACGATTACGATAAAGATAATATGTATGTGCATCTGGGCTGTTGAAATCAGTTCTGGACCATATCACGTAGACAAGATTCCAAGGTTGCAGTCTTCACGGACTGGCGTTACTTAGACAACCATTGAAGAACTGGGTGCACTGAACACCTATTTAGTCCTAGTATGGGGCTCTTCAGCATTGTGCAGCTACAACTCTGCCAGGGATGGAACCCAATACCTTCCGTTTTGGCTGGGAGCACGTCACCATAGCCTCTGGATCTAACTCCAACGGTTCCGATTTTCGTAACTGTTTTAATTGACGCTGTAATGTGACCACTAAGTAATGCTATCGGCGAGCATTTTATGTTATGAAGATGAAACCGTCAGAACGGCTGGTGTGCATACTAAGTAACATAGTAATCATATCTTTTTCGGAATTATCGCGGTAGAATATATAAATACAAATTACTCTCCTCAACTTGTGGTGTTGGTCAGCGTTATTCACCTCCGGTATCTCATTAGTTGCACTGGGTGTTGTAGATTCTATGCTTGCAAGCGATGAGCAGTTGATCAATTCACACTACAACAATAAGATAAACTTTTTAAAGTGAAGATGTCAAAGTCAATGCCTTTTGAAATTACGTTTATATTTATGCATGAAAATTTGTAATTACAGTCAGCAGTAGAATGTTTGGTTTTGAAAAGATTTTAAATCTAATTAACACAAACCCTATTACCAGCCTGTTTCCTAGATCTAAGATTTGTATCAAGACCAATTGTTTTATATCTTCTCTCCTTTTGCTTGAAAAGTTTTCATTTTACGAATTAGATTCTGCTTTATTATTCCCTGTTCTACTGTTTGATCCGACGTTATTACTATTATTCAGATTTATCATCTTGTTTGTATTTGCGGATCAGTTTCATCCATATATAACAACTTAATACTCGTACAAGTGATATGCGGTTACATGTATAAGTTGTTACCGTGTTACATTTGTTTACTTGATTCAATCTGGGTATCAGAAAGTAGGAACTTGTATACATTTAGAATGATAGACATCAATTAGTGTGGCTGTCGCTCATTGGCTCAGTCACTTTACTTTTAGCCAGGGAATCACGGGTTCGAACACCACTTCATCTTCGGTGGTTCAGCCAGCCAGGTAGTACCATTAACCCTCGCATAATAGATTTGGCCCATTGCGTACTGCACAAACATGCATCTGGTTACTGAGTGAACTTTGATTTCGACTTCGTCCAAAATTCCACTTTCGATTCCCGATCAGTCCATTCAGTCGTTAGTATGTATGTATGAATTGGTGCACTATCAGGTGATAGAGTGAATAGGTGTACTTTCCTCAGGGTTGTTACAGGAGAGTGGAAAGAGGTCTTCATCACTCAACTTCTGTTTATTTAACTAACATTCAATACGTTCAATTCTACCACCATTGGGACTCAAGAACTCGAAGTAATAGAAATATAGAAACGGAGTGTCTAAATCTTGTGTGTCGACCTTGATATTACTTAGGAAAATAAATTACTACCGAAACAGCATGTAGTAAACAAAACCGTACATTGATTGGTTACTCAAGGAAGAGTAACCGATTTTACGTTGTTTGGTCCTACGTACTGGTCGGATTTTACCGATCAAAATAGGAGACTCATCATTGCGATGGACCTGAATAGATGTCAGACGTTTGCAGGCAATCTTCAAGGAGCTTTACCTAACCTACGTTTGGTACTTGGTGAGACCCATCAACAGGGCGTATCTCCAACCTGGAAGAGACATGTCTCCCGTGGGATTCGAACTTGCGGCACCCAGTGATGCAGCAATACATGTTACCACTGACCTGTTCAGCCCACTAATTAGTAGCGTCTCTGACTGCTGCACTGGGTGTCGTTGAGTCTGATGTCTGAGCGCATAGCAGCTATGTGGCAACTGCAGGTATACCTTAATATCAGTTCGTTTAGAATACGCTACTTTCTTCTGATTCCCGTTAGTCATGTATACACTACTTCTACGCATAATTCGGTTATAGGCTGTCGGCTGTCTCAGGTTTATAAATTCATTCTGACTCTCATACTGCAAATTCTGTGTGTTTGTTACTAACGTTAGTGGAAAATTATGGAGCTTGAACTTATTAGTTTAGGCAGGTAGTATGGTTGTTAACCCATGAACCTGGAGATATGACTCCTGCTTCTTGTACAGGCAGTTGAATTTTTCTCTATCAGAACTTACATGTTACTCATGGATTAATAAATGGATCTGTATATAATAAGTGAGTCACTCTTGTATTTACATGAGAAAATCACTTACGTTTGTACCAATCATATTGTTGAAAGTGACATTTGAATGTCAGATGATTCTGTGTGATAACTGGTTTGAAATGTACGATAATCTACTGATTACGTATTCAGCATTTTATCTGCTTTTTGTTGTTGTGATTATTAATCTGTCACATTGCAATGGAATATAATCTACATAATTGTGTAGAATGCATTTATGGTAATGCGTTGTATACTTTAATAAAAGTTTAGAGGAGAAAATGCACAACTGACTGATCTGTTGATTTGTTGAATACTATCTGTATCTATCAAAAGGTTTTACGAACTAGATCAGGTTACATAAAACATAGGATGGTCAATCTGACTAATTTATATAACCAAACACATTCAAGATGAATCATAGTGTATGATGTCACCTGAGTGAAGGGGAAATCTAACCAAGAAACATGGAAAGGTCGGTAATGCCAAAAGTTAGGTAAACAGTTTGTGGACTGTCTGAAGTTGCACGTTACATACTGTCATTACTTATACTTTAGTGGTTTATAACCAGATTGAATGAGTGTAAAATGTAATGTTGACTGACTCGATGTGTCAGACACATATTTAGTGTTTAGCCTAGTTCAGTCGTCTATGATTATGTTTAGGACTTAAAAATGTGCAGGTTCATATATTATCCTGTTAAATTTATCACTTATTTTCTTAGAAGCTGATAATAATACATGATTACTAAGAATTTGATAAATTCATGGGGATTCAAACGCGTAACACTATCAATAAATACGTTTTAATATCCATGTATTTCAGCAGTATATTATTTTGGCTTCTAGAACTTATTTTCCAGAAGAAATAATACGTTAAGTTTCAAAACAGTAGTTTTGCTCTGATACCATTACTAAAGTCATCCTTACGAGTTTATTTGTGAAACACAATTATCGGCAATGAAAGTATCGGTCTTATGATTTACACTATACAAATACTGTAGTAATAAATGTACTTGAAACCCTTACATTTTCTTTTATTGATTTAGATATTTAACTTTTAACTAGGATAATCAAGAGCCCAAATTGCATTTAACCTCTTGAAGTTTGACCAATCAAGTACAATCATACTAGTCACCATACACTATGTATGATTAAGAACCTAGCACATTGTTGTATATACGATTGTTAAGATTATTTTTAAATTGATTACTTTTCTCCCCTATAGGTATTCTTGTTTTCATTGGTGCTGTTATTCTGTTAATGTTTCCACGGAAGTTACAAGAATTATCTTGTTGTTGTGATCTATCAAAATCGAAGAAAGTAACAATTATAGAAGTGTCGTTAGATAATGGATGTATATTGAATGAAACAAGTAAATTGATATTTTAAGTTATTCAATGTAATTTTTATTCATTTGGTTTTTGAGTATATATATATATATATATATATATATATATATATATATATATATATATATATATATATATATATATATATATATATATAGTTCATTAAATAATGGATATACACACATAGTCATCTAAACGCCTCTGAGATACAGGGTTCAGATACTATATACTTCTTTTAATTTCAAAATAAACGCATTTAAAGCTGATCATCTTGAAAATTTGAAACCATATTTCATCTTAACTGATACTTTATCACAGTCTGATATCTACAACATCAAGGAAATCTAAAATTCATTTTAATTTTAAATCTATCTATCCTTTTGACTGAATAAACATTACAGACTAAGAATTTGAACAGTTAGTTCATTCTGTTTTTAAAATTCTTAAAACTTCTTCCAAAAGATTCTACCTAGAATTACAATAAACTAGACTAATTTCCATTTACAATCTCGAAGTTGTCGAGGAAAGTGAGAGATATTAAATTGGAATTCACAAACATGTCTTCTCAATGGTTCATCTACAGGGTAACTCGAACATTTTTACCGTCAAGTCAACTTTCGTACAGTATCGGGTTTTCAGGATATAACAAGTACTATTAAACTTGATGACTCTAACCATAGCTTTTGTAAGGCTGATCATCTATTCTGGTGTGTGATTTTTCTAACTTGAGTAAGCTTGTTATAGGAAGTGCAATATATCCTCTCATATCATCTGTATGAATGTTGTTGTTTAGTATTTTGTTAATCCTCAACAACACGAATAACTGTCGCAAGAGACATTATCTTTTGATGAAAACCAGCTAAAGGTTGACTAAAAATTCTGAATTCATTTGCATCTAGAATAAATTCTGATTTAACTGTAAGTACATTACATCATAGGTGTATTCTATATAAGCATACGACTTTACTGTAACTTTTGAAGCCTATCCATCTGGATGCATCCCGTCAGTCATCCTTAACATCAACACAGAACCAGACATTACTGCATAATAGTTCAAGCTGCCACACCTCATGTCAGCACATCAAGCGATAAAGCACTAAGATGAAAGATGAAGAAATAAAGAAGAATCAGCCAAAAGCAGGAGAAAGCAGTAAAAAAGCGGAAGGAGGAATAAGAGTACTGAATTTAGCTTGATGATTAAAATGATGATAATGTATGGGGATAAATCTGCGCCTCTGAGATATGTTCTAAGCTATATCACCTAGAGTCTGTAACCAATTGTTTCTGTTTTCACGCGGACACCAACAGGAAAGTTTTGCATTGTCCTACATGGCTCAGACCAGCAGTCAGATTCAATGTACTGATACCATGTTTTAGTTTGACCACCCCTAACCTTTTTCCAGTCTTAACCTACTTCAGCCAACATTATGCGACGAGGCGAACGGTGACTAGACATGCATAACGCACATCACAACCACCTTAGCCGATAAAGGTTCACTATCTCACGGCTGACTTTTGGTGTCCGTGGAGAGATTTCGTCGATCATTGAATCAAAAGGGCTGATCTGACTTCCCAAGTAAGTGAGGTAGTCAAAGCGCTCAACCATTTTGCACCGTATTATTAGACAGTGTACCACTGTAGACCGTTCTGGGAGCAAGGATTCGCATTTGGGTGGCGAGAAACGAATCCATTCCCAGAATTATCACTTGTTAGGGTCTTCACCCAACAGGGTTTTGTCATCTGCATACTGTGTCTACCAAGATTTCTCACGTGATAAGGTCAATCTCTGTGAAGTCTCACGACGACAGGGTGACCTACATAACTATGTCTGTGATAAAGTTGAATAGAAACGCATAGTGGACATCCTCGGTGGACACCACTTGACGTACACAACTCACTTGGTAATTCGCCATTGCGCTCTAACCCTCCCACTGGTGTTCGAGTACAAAGCCTTCAGCAGATGGATTTACTTACTGGGCACCCATCCAGTGAGAGACACTGCCATACGACCTCTCGATCAACGGAGCAAAAAACTGCCTTAAGTTGTAAAAATACAGCTGGTATTAAGTGTCGGTAGGTGTGCCTGTGTTCCATAACCTAGTGGGGTATGAATATCTGGTCGACACACTCACGGTGAAATCTGAAACGTGCCTAGTTTTCTCAGGTTCACTGCTCCAGAGCTCCACTTACACGTCTGATGGTTATAGAAAGTAGAATCTTAGACACCATGTTCATCAGGTGGACTCCCCTGTGGTTACCGCGAAAGCATCCCTTATCTTTCTCGACGACTAGGATAATCAATTTTAATCACCTTTCTTCCTTAGTTTGTTAGAATTCGGGATAAGCATTTGTAAGGGAAATTAGTTTAGACGCATGTTTTAAGCAAACAAAGGCACTGACTTGGTTAAGTTCCATCCACCTCAGTTAGCCAGTTTGAATTATTCTGAAAAATCCGGTTTTTTTCAGGTGAATCTGTCCGGGTCACCAATGGTAAGCTAGTGGTATCTAGACAAACAAGATATTCATCGAACACTTAGATGTCTTTGATCTGGCTAGCGAAATCTGAATATCAGCATGATTGATCTCTAACTGCTCATGTTGTTCAGTAGTGTATTTCTCTATGGTTTGTTCTTGAGATAAATTGCTGTTGGTCAGATACAACTGCCTGCATTTTCTGTCTGTCGCTTTTGTGGTATTTTGAATCCAGTAATTGAGTTTGTGCCGGTAATATTGTTTAGACCGATAATAAAAGCTTCACAGTTAAGTTTTTGAACTGATGATAGGTGGCAACAACGCCAAACTCCCTCCTCTAAGCTGAAAATATTATTTTACCGTTCTCATTGACTAGTCGTTCGATTATCACCATAGGACCCCAACTTTTTGTGTAGCAATCTAATTTGTCACACTCGCCATCAGAAATTACCACCGGATCCGGAAATACCAATCAGTGATTGACAATCAAAAAAGAAAACTAGAAAACATACTCATGACGCAACACATGACAACATTGACAACTGCAACTGAAAAACCAAGTAGACGATACAAAGAACAACGAACAAAAGTCCTCAGGAAAAAAATGGAAGAACTTCTTCCTCAAACAGGATCGAATTACAACACAAGAGATGCTTCCAAGCCAGAATTCTTTGCGGCATTAGAATCCTCACTTAAAGCATGAGGATTATCTGAGGTTACTTAACAAGAAGTATGACAAACAATCGTACCACTGACCGACCAGGCAGAAGAGAAATCATGCTCAGATGAACAGTGAAGAGCAGAAAACATTAAAAAGACAGAAAAGTAGGAAAGATATCGTTATACTTCCAGCAGATAAAGAACGCACTACAGTAGTTATGGACGAAGAAGACTACATGAAGAAGGCAGAGGAATTACTCAAAGATAAAAATGTGTATCAACCACTTGAAACCAACTCTATCCAAAAGTTCGATAACCAGATGAATAAAACCTTGAACAAACTTTTGAAAGCAGAAGAAATAACAAAGCGAGGCAAATGGCGTATGAAATCGAATGGATTTATCCTTCTTCGATTCTACGGCAGACCAAAACTACACAGACCCGATATCCCTCTACGACCAATAGTCTCACTTCCGGGAACCCCAACATACAACATGTCAAGAGAACTTTCGAGAAAACTGAAACACCTGGTTCAATCATGAGGACATTCCATCAAGTCACCAACAGAATTCTTAGAAGAGATCGAAAATATTAACATAGGAAACGATGGATTAATGATATCGTTCGATGTTACAGCACTATACACATCCATCGAACCTCGAATGGCCAAGGAAACGATATCCCTCCTGATGAATGAAGACCTTTGAGAAACCTTTCAGAACACACAAAAGTCAAATGTTGAAGTGTGATGGAACTCATCGACCTTTGTGTGACAACATACTTCCAATTGAAGGACAAGATATATACAAAGAGATGAAAGGAACTGCAATGGGATGACCGATATGTGGATTAATAGCAGAAGGAGTGATGCAGAGACTGGAAGCCATTATTGTACCTGTGATCAAAGTAAAAATTTGTAAAAATTCGTTATGTAGACGACAGTTTTGTCATCATTGAAAGGATGATATAGAAAACACCCACAGTTTGATGAACAAGGTTTTGAATGACACCAGGTTGACAATGGAGAAAGCATTGAACAAACAACTATTATTTCTGGGTGTTTTAGTCAGTAGGACAAATGCTGGAATGGTGGAAACCCAAGTGTACAGGAAGCCAACACACTTTGACCAAATGTTCAAGTAGAGTAGCAACAACGCAACAGTGCACAAAATTACTTGGTTACAAACTCTATTGAAAAGAGCGAGAACAGACTTCAGTAGAACAAGTTACTGGAGAAACGAAGAAAATTACTTGATATCCATCCTAAAGAAGAGAGGCTACCCAGGAAACTTTATCAACTTTATCAGAAGATGCCTATCCCATACATCTTTAACTACAAAGTCATCGACAGAAATGAATAAACGCATCATCCTACTGTACATAAAGAATATATCAGAAATCATGACAAGATTACTTAGTTGGATTGGTGTGGCTGATAAACCAACGAATTCGGTGAAAACACTATTATGCAGACCGAAGGATGTAACAAGAATCAGAGAAGACGAACTGAATATCACTTGGAAAATCAAGTGCAATAACTGTGGTCAACACTACATTGGACAAAGTGGTCACCGTCTTTGCCTTCGTCTACATGAGCACCGATTGGCTATTAAGTGTCACGACATTTCGTCACTCATTTCAATGCATGTGGATAACAACTATGGGCATGAATTCAATTTTGACAATGTGGGAATTTAGGATGTAGAGAGGAAACTTAAAAGATATCAGAGAATTTCTAGAAGCTTGTCATCATTCACGTCATTCAACAGTGAGTGGATGTCTAGAGATAGACCCGATCTATCAACCAATAAGAAAAATGCTGAACGACAGAAAGGTGAGAGGTGAAGCAGAGGAACAGCCAACAGGAGAGTCTATACAATCAATGACACAACAATGGAAGGAGTTAACCAGTTACAGACCACATCGTGAGAGCGAGGCATTAAATCACTGACATAGAGATATTGACAGCTCACTTCATAGTGAAGTTAGTGTTGAAGATGTTCATTTAGAAGGACGATGAAAGCTTCACGATTAAACAACCCAGCTCAGAGAAGACAATAAAACCAAGACCATGCACATAAGCTACAAATATTCTCCATCATTTCAAAATACCAGTTTATAAGGCAAGGGAATGGGAAACGTAGGAATGTAAATGATATACTGGTGGGTGGGGGGTTGTCGTAAAAGCCTACAAAATGAGAAGAAAGAAGTCAAAACCAATAAAGATTTGTGACATAATATTTAAGATCAAGATTATCATGTGAATGCATCTGTACCAATGGGATCGATTGGTAGCTCATCATTGAGAGCTACCAACCATCGATTCCGGTGGTCTCGTGAACGATCACAAAGCCGACATTATTTCCTACGTGACTTAGACTTACAGTCAGATGTTCTGTAGATTATTGCCGCGTCTTGGACCGATCATTCTTAGCTGTTTCCTAAAGTAACCTTACGTCGGTCAACAACAGCACGTTAGGATAGATGATTGTTCGAATGTGTTAAACATACCGAAATACCTCAATTGGTAAAATTCTACAACTTCATTAAATTATGCTATGAATATTACTGTTTTGTTTGATTACCTGGCACTTTCAACTTACTAGAATTATGTAGTACTGTTAGCTTGTGACCACATGCCAAGTAATCCACAATGGGAAGCTCAGTGATGCCTTTGAAGTGAAGACAGGAGTGAAACAAGGTTGCCTACTATCCCCCATGATATTCCTTATTGTGGTGGACTGGATCATGCAGCAAACAGTAGGCAGCGAGAAGAGGGGGATACACTGGCTGGACTGCGGAAAAGAACCTAGAAGACTTGGATTTCGCCGATGACTTATGTCTAATGTCACATAAACTTGAAGATCTGCAGGCAAAAACTAACAAGTTGATAGAAGAGGCAGCTAAGACGGGACTTCAGGTGAATATAGAGAAGACAGAAGTGATGAAGATACCGCACCACCACCATCAACAACAACAACAAACTCCAATCACCGTCAACGGGAGAAACTTGAAGGAAGTAACCTCCTTCACTTATCTAGGAAGCACTGTTTCAACTACAGGCGGGACAGACGAGGACGTCAAAGTCAGAATCGGAAAAGCAAGACAGGCGTTCATTAGCCTGAAACCAGTGTGGAGATCTTCTGCACTCAGCATGCGGAACAAGATACGGATTTTCAACACCAACGTCAAGTCAGTGCTTCTGTATGGCTCAGAGACTTGGCGCGTCACGAAAGGGATTTCCAACAAACTACAGACATTCATCAACAACTGCTTACGCTCACTACTGAAGATCAGATGGATTGCCAGAAAGAATAAGCAACAAGGAGCTCTGGGAACGAACCAACCAAGAACCTATCACTCAACAAATATGCAGGAAGAAGTGGAGATGGATTGGCCATGCACTGAGAAGGCGGACTGAGGACATCACGCGTCAGGCCAGTTGCTCGAGTGGAATCCTTAGGGGAAGCGACGAGTTGGACGTCCGAGGGTGACATGGAGGAGGTCGTGCGAGGAGGAAATGAGAGCTTCTGGGCTGTCGCGGGACCAGGTCCAAACGATCTCAGAGAACAGAGGTCACTGGAGGCCTGCTACTGAAGCCCTATGTTCCACTAGGAACCCAAGGGACTAATAATAAATAATAATAATAATTAGCTTGTGAGAATGTGGTTTTGTAAGATCGGACAGTATTTATTAATTTTCATAGGACGAATATTATAATCTCAATTAATGAATAAATATTTTCATAGTCGATATATTTCATTTTATTCCTACTGTATATTTCCTGACTGAATGAACTATGCCTTTTGTTAAGAAAATTACATATGTTTATTATCGTTATTATGCTTGACATTTTCTATACAGATGACACGAAAATATTGCATACACTTGGTAAGTGATTATTTATACAATATAGAAATGGTATATCTGTACCACAGTGTTCTAATATTTTTTTGTTTTCTCTGTTCTTTTTTTCATTTAGCTCCTATGAAACCTCAGAATAATTATTCAGATCCTGTATTGAACACTGAATTGGGCAATGAAGACAGCTCTGAATACCAAGTAAGTTTTATCGAAGGATAATATAGAGGGCAGAAGAAAAATTGAATTTCATTCATAAAAATTTTGCTATGTAACTGTAGATTGAATTTATGCAACCGTGTCAAGAACTCACGAATAGTTGTCATTCGAAGTAACGATTTCTTCCAGGGACATCCACTGTCACTTACATTGCGCTGCGAAAGTTCAACTTCTGAGGGATTGGCTCATTCTCTGCAAGGCGGCTAGTTAATTATGCTGATAACATAGTCTCTTGTTAGACGAAGACACTGATAAAACCCAGTTTTCTGGACATTTTAAGCTAAAATCTCAGTGTGGTCAACACGCGTTTCGCAAATGTAAATAGTAGGGTGATGCCTCAGAAGTCGCCTGCCCTGAGTCCTACTTTTAGGAGAGATAGTGAAGAGGTGAAATGCGTTGTTGAAGCAATGCGTTGAACTGAATTATTTGATCAATGACTGTGCATCAATGTCTTTATATTGTGTACAATATTTCATTAATCTATTGTATTCAGAATTAACCATACCGCAGTACGTACAATGTTTTAATTGCCGAGAAAGTTATGAGATATTACTAATTTTTATTTATTTATTTATTAGAGTGAGTATACATTGTAAAGTGATTTACAAGTGCTAACTTCTATTCGCCATGAGGAGGAGGCTAAATTGGAGTAGAAGTATAGTTATCTGTTTTACAGCTTGTACAACAGTCTACTTTCACGAATTGGTCACTAGTGGGTAGCTAGTGTAACTGTTTAGTCTTTGGTATTTAGCACTGATGAAAGTCTATCGATCAAACTATGCAATATAGTCACTAAGCTAAAAGACGCAACAGTGATGCACTCTATTTCGGTGTTAGGTATTGACAGTTGATCAACAGAAAGTCAGGGACCTAGGTTTCGTACTCGTTGGCACTTACCAACACAGCGTACCTCCAACCATGAGAAAACTGGTGTTGTCTCACTGATTCCAACCTATGCCATTAAGCTTCTAGGTGTCTCTCTGTTTGGCTGATAACATCTCACCCCAAAATACAGTGAACTATAGTTTCACGTCACTCCGCTTAGTTGTAGTGATACTGCTAAAACTTGATCGATAGACTTCTGTCAGCGCTAAACACCTAGGACTCGACAGTTACATCGGTTACCCTCTGTTGACTGGTTCGTGTGCAGAATCCAGTCCTACAAGAAGGAGTCAGTTGTGGCCTGAATGGCTAATTGGTTAATTTTTTTGACTTGAGCACTGAGCTATAGGTTTGAATCATCGAGGGAACACTAATTTTCCCTTGATAGAAGATACGCCTTGCTAACGAGTGGCAAAAAGCACAAGACCTAGGTTCAGAGTTTCTTGCTAATTAACAGTATCATTCAGATCTTCTTCATCATATTCAGTTCTAGCTCATTGTCGCTAGCGTGACTCCTCATGCAGGTGAATTACTCACCGTTCTCGTTTGTTTTACCCGTTAATGTTGAAATGGGCGTTGATCATTTCTGAAGAATCTGTTATTATTTATTATCAGTTTGTAAAACCGCATAATGTGTCATTCAGAATGTGTGAAATTTGCTTAAATTTATCAAAATAAAAAACATTAGTTCGGGGGGTTTGTAGGGATTCACTGATTTTTCAAGTTGGTATTCATCATGGACTGACATCAGTTGAAGGAACATTGGAAACCTGGGAACACAAAATCCCCACAAACCCCCAAATTCACTTGATTTAGTGCTCATTGGTGACTAGCTTCGAGAGGTGATTCTTGAAACTCCAATGCGAAGTTGTGGCCGGTGGGGCAAACCTGATATCCTTGAGGACAAATAGTGAACAGTGACGTTGGGCGATGGTCTGGCTATGTCGTGAACTGACAGAAGTTGAAAATAAGGACCACTGTATTCCTACCCAGTGGCTGAATGGTAACGTGCTGGCCACGGAACCCGAAGGCTTTGTGTTCGACCCCTGGGGCGTGGGGCGATGAGTGCGCACTACTGAAGAGTTCCATAGTAAGACAAAACAGGTGCCCAGTGCTCCCAGATTTCCAATGTTCCTCCAACTGATGTCACTCTATGATGGATACTAACTTGAAAAATATTGGTTTACGGAAGTAAAATTTCTTTTGTAAAATATAAACAAAATTCTGTTACACTAGATTATCATAAGTTGATTATCGTCACCTTTTTTCGCATTCTTTCTATACTCTAGAGTCCTTGGTCTGAATTTTCTTCCTCCCGGCGAAGTCAACGAAAAAGTCACAATTGTAATCCTCATTTTCGATGTAAACTCTTTAGTTCAAGTGGTACATGGGTTGGTAAGATTAGATGGGTTTTTTTGTTCCGTACTGAATACAGTTTTTTTTCAGTAAATTTTTTTCTTTGCATATAACAAGAGTCACTAGTGTTACTTCAAGAGAAATCATCTGCTATATAGATTTAAAATCACTAGCTTCTCAGATGAAAACTCTAAACATGTGATTATAAATGTCATGACGTTATGCATAAAGAAAGACGTAAGTGATGTAAGCCTAAAAATTCAAGGAAACATAGTAAAATAAGAACAAAAATTTAATATATCAGATGAAAATGTGATAATTTTGGAGAGAGCGTTGAAAATTTGGTTAACTGGAACTAAATTAGTTCATTGTTAGAAGAACAGTCAATAATTTGGTGAAAGATTTAGTAGAAGTATTGGTCTAGCAATCTATGACAGTTTAAGAGTGAGTAGTAAAATCCTATCCGGTCTTTGTTCACTGATTGTATTAAGTTATGAAGTAACATAAAAAGCAAGACAAAGTGGTAAATGTAGTAAGACAAATAAAAGTGCAAATAGAAAAAAAGCCCGGAAACTTTTGATACAATGACGAGTTTTGCCAGGACAGATTCCAGGTAATCACCAGTTCTTTCTGCACGCAAGTGTTTGGATTTCAGACACAAATCACTCATAGTTATGGATTCTCTTATCTTTTTAACGTCTTCATTTCTGAATCTCTTAATAATTTCTGGGTGGGTGCTCACCTTTTTGCCTGAGCTTTTCATTTGCTTCTGCATATAAATTCTAAGAGGTATATATGATTTTATTTATCAAGAAATGGTTCTTTGATTTTGGACTTCTTTTTTCAACTCCCTACAACATTTCAATACTTTCCTTTGACCCATCAACATTTTTTTCCCACCTCTATGTTGCTATGTTATAACCTCTGCTAGTTTATAATATTTTTTATCCCTATGTTATTTCATGACAGTGTGAAGACATGAAAGTGGTGTAGAGGTAAAATGAACAAAACAGAAGCAACGTAACGAACTTCACCAAGAGAATCGTTACACACCAACAGATGATAGCCCTACACAACTATCGCTCATCATATGGTGGTATATAAAAAAACTGAGTACTTCTCTCTGGGCTTCAAAAACAGTAAATTGTCTACGAACCACTGGGACGACGTTAGTAGTGGATGTTTAAGCCACGACATCACTCAATAAATGATGATCTTCACCACACCCAATTATGCATTGCTGCATTTTAGAATTACAAGATGATTCTACTAAGTGCCTGTAGTTCTAAATAAGCAACAGTAGTCGGAAACATGAAGTTATCGGGTATCTTCATTCCCAAGAGACTAGTTTCCACAAGTGTATAGGGAAAGTTACCCGCGCGGAGAAGTTGTACACTCAACATTGTATAGTCAGAGTAATATTGGTGACCCTAATTGCTGTATTTTACTCTGGCTATCGATTTGCGATTAGAAATCTTACGAAACTCACCTGCTTTGGGACTAGCACAACTACCAAAAGATGTGCGGATTACTTCCAACATTTCTCCAGCAAGGGTGAATACAAGTACAGATTTATTCCAATTGTATAGAAGCTTTTTGCGTCTCAATACTTGTGTAGCACATATCTCACTTATGAACATTGATCATCATTTGATTAAGTGCTCTTTGAGTAACCTGTATTTTGTCGCACAGTAAGATGATATCGTCTGCATACTCAGGGTTGAAAAGTCTTTCTTGTGTAGCATATTCATACTACCTACACCCATCTTTATCTACCGTTTGCAGAGAACATTAGTTGTTAGAGAAGTTTTGATTACTAAGAAGGTGTGATACAGCATGTTTAAGATTTTAAGCAATAATCCTGGTATAATGAGAAACGGGTAATCATGTGTCCTTGATAGACATAACAATTAACGAAAATACTTCATGGTTAAAATGATATTGATATTTTATTGACAGTTGTGCATCACTATTGGTACAGGTGCTGGTTTGAATTTTGTCGCCATCTATGTTTCCTGTCAATTTCGGTTATCACTATTATTTTTGAATACTGAAACCAGTTTATCAACCAGGACAGTCACCCTAGACTTGGTTTATAATTGAACTGATCAGTCTAATGATCTGGATTTCTACTGAGAGCAAGAATAGTAGATATGGTTTTCTTATGGTTACTTTACTTGAATACATCTAACTGGTCCAGTAATGATAAATGCTGTTACATTATGATATAATTAACTGTCTAATTACGGTTTGAACTAACCCAGTAACTAGCATAATTACATGAGTAAAAATACTACAAATGTAGTAACAAACTGATCTTGAAGTGTATGAACACGGTAGAACTGAAAGTTAGGAAAGCGAAATTACACAGGGGAAGTATTTATCGAGATATAATAAGTTTCCTTTTAATTTCATTCTTAACTAAGTCTTATGCCTGGCCTTATTCACATAGCCGTGGACTATGTAGGTGTAATACTAATCTTCATGTTTCTGGTTCTTACTGTTTCTGTAAGATGACTCACAGTTGACAGTAAAAACATGTACACAGTCCTGATGATTTTTGAATGATGCTTGAAAATAATGGGATTGTAGTCGGTGAAGATGTCTTATATCCTCGCCTTTGTCGACGTATATATTTGTACGTATACCCTTTCAGCATCTTCCATATCTATCAGTTATTGTTGATGCTATTAATGGTTAAAAAGATAGCCACTTTCTGACGGGATAGTTATGTTGGATTTGCATTTATAATGCATTTGTTTGAATAGGTTTTAGAGATGATGTAAGTCAATAGCTCAAAACAATCAGGTTTGTGAGGTGTTGCTTATAAGCGTAGTCGCTTGACTGAAGTTCCATTCTTGCTCTTTCTCGGAGATGTGTTAGTACACAAGTCCTCAAACAGTAATTGTGGCTTATAACGTAGTAAATAAACCTGTACTGAATTAAGCTGCTTTGTGTATTTACACCTAAAAAGATTTTTTTTATTTATGAATCATACTTTATTGTTTTATATTGCCCCCCTTCAAAAATGTCTAGATTTCACTGGTGTGCTTAGTTCACTGATTCGAAATAAAATTTACATAATGGTATGTTTATGCATCAGTTCGGAGATGTTCATCGTTATTGGTTTTGCATCATTTCTGCCAAAATATTTGGAAATGGAATTCCGTATTAATAAATCATCTAGCAGTCTTATAGCTGGTAAGTATGATTGATTTTGTTCTGTTTTTTTTCTTTTTTGGAGTGGGAAGCCTGAATAGATGAAATGTTCATGCAGAGAGGAAGAAAAACAAAGCTGTAACTAATTGGTCTAGGTTAAGCTGATTTTCAACCAGTAGGTTGTGGGTTCAAACCCCACCCTAGGTTTGGGTAGTCTGCTTGTATCATTAACCGTCACACAGTAGGTATATCTAATTGAGTGCCTAGTGTATTAACCTGCAAATGATTACTGAATTACATTCAATTTTTAATCGTTGTAGGTGTTTTCTTATTGTTTAAGTGGTTGTGCATTCGTTGTATATGTCTAAAACTAACATTTTTGTTTTCAATAGTCAAATTTGGTAGAAAATAAAGGGGAAATGTACTGGTTATCAATTATGTCGCATTTCATCTCATTTCTCAATCTACTTTCCTCTTTACTGTTCCGTTTAAAATTCACCAATAAGTGTGATTCATAGCTTAGTACTGAGTTGAGTTGTTATATTTGAATTCATTGTTTATGCATTATGTAAAGCAGATGTAAATTTTATGGATAGTTAATCTTTAATAGCTTATCTGATATGTTGTGGAATGTTCAGAGAAGCAGTATTAAGAAATACAAGTTTTACGTAAATGTATAAGTCAGTTGACAAGATTAGCACCGTGATTCAACTGAAATGTATTCTTTATGACATGTCACTTTCTTCGCCTAAAGTTAATGGTAGCAGGTGTAGTATTAAGATGATTGGGGATGCTCAATTGGATATGTAACGTCGGTAAACAAAACCACTGACTAGTGGCTTTTATTTGTTAATAGTGTATTATTACATTGAATTAATCTCTCAGACTTCTTATTTCTTCTTAACTGGATAATTCCCATCTTATCCTTATGGTTAATGGTATTTCTTATCATTTGACTATGTGAGATGAAAGTGGTTTGGCAGATTAGCATTGGTACTGGGTGATGTTGAAGATGAAATGAAAATTTGAACGGCGGCCGGATTGGAATCAGCGACCACTGAATTTCCGGCCTAATACTCTACCAAATGAGCTACGAGGTCCGACTGCTGACCAAATTTTCATACATTCATAGTCAGCTGTCAAACGTCATAACTTAGTTGGTAGAACATCAGGCCGGGAACCTGGTGATCGCTGGTTCGAATCCGGCTGCGGTCCAAATTTTCATTTCACCTTCAGTCATCGCCCAGCATAAACTGTATTTCCCTCGATAATATCCATTACTGTAGTGCAGAGCTGTAGTTCACTGACTTAGATGCTTGACTTTTGACAAGGTAGATTAAAGTCTTTATCTTAATGCATCAACTGGGGTTTGGATGTCTATGTAGTATTACCGACATTCACGTGATACTTATTACCCTCAGTTTAGTGAATAAGTCGGTACACAGTTGAAAAAGTTGTGTTTTTACCGTTACATATTGTCTACTGACTCTACTTTATCTCAACCGGTCAGTTTTATTCGATATAGTAACTTATTTTTTCTTCTGTGTATACTATTTTTGTTTTGTACGGCTCTAGTAGCAACTGACAATTAAAGCTTGTCCTTTATGATACGCAAGTGCTTATCTGAAATTTCGCAACTACTTTCTTGCTTTTAGTTTTCAATTCCTTGTTGAGGAGAATTTTATTCCCTTGATTGTCATCAAAATAATTTTTTTTAAAAATAACCTTTCTAGTCAGAGGGAAGTAATTTTGGATTACTATGAGAGTTTTCTGATTAAAACAGCAACCATTTTCAACCGGCTATTTCTTATACATAACCTCAGAAATTCCGTAACCTAAATTTTCAGCCCAAAACGCTAGCTAATGATTTTAGGTGTTTCTTCGAATGAGATAATTGTAAATAACGTAATTATATCACTCAAGATTATTAATTTATGCGAGATATTCAGTCGATAAACCATTTATTATATGCATTCAAGTATCAAGTGTCTTATTGGTACACTGAACCAGTGTAGTTTTGTTTAACTGTGGAATTGAATCAAGTGTATGAAGATCCCTTTGAAGGCTTTGTAGTTTTGGTTTCATTTCGTGAATAATATACTGTGATCAGCGTGGCCATTTATAAAGTATTCGTCTCAGTGATCATTTTTTTTGTCTAGTATATAGTTCATTTTACAATTACCAGCAGTGTTACTCTGTTTCGTATTACGGGAGGGAGTTATTTATTGAATAAAGAAATATTTTTACCTAAGTCGAAATGTCATATATACATTCGTTTATCGAGCCTTAACTGCTTGTTGTTTGAAGTTGTTCAATACTTCACAATGATAAGTTTTGAATGTAATAGTTTGTTTTTTGGATCTTGGTGACTAGCAGAGGAATCCAGAATGCACGTTTCGCCCTATTTAGGAATCATCAGCTGGATGTATCTGCACTTCAGGGAGTGATGTTAGTCCCACTGTGACTCAAACCCCAGTACTCGTCGCTCCAAACGCCAGAGCGTTGTCCACTGAGGCACGATAGCCACATCTCGTGAAAAGAGTATCAGCTGTTGTTAAGATACTTGTAACAAGTATCATTACAATAATTATTTGTTTGTTCGTATTGTGTGTAATGCATCACAGATCTTGGGATTAGAAATATAATGGGAAATGAATTTTATCTTGTTGGGTATCTGATTAATTGTTTTCTTTTGTGATTCATTATGACCAAGCTTATCCATCGAGATGAATATAACACAACCATTTGGACGAGATTCTCAACTACATCCCATTCGTCGTTGATATATGAAAGTGCTTTGTTTGTCTAACATCCTTTCTTGTGTACATTGCGTTTGACTTCGTTATCGTTCGTTCAGGGGTTCTTCAAACGCACTTAGGAGGATACGTCATTAAATTTCACTTTTCTTGGTGTGGTGAAGTTTAGTTATCAAGTCGAAGCAAAGGCAAAATAGCACTATAGACGTAATGCTTAGAAAAATGATTGGTACAATGATGACTCCTCAGTTGGCATATGTATATCTGAGAACGGGTTAGACCTCGTGTTTTATGCGTGCTAAGAATAGTTGTGTTGGATTAGTATCTATCAGTTTATCACAACTCCCTAAGCGGAGTTCAAGAGACCGTTCAACCCAGTGACTTCAGATAATATCAGATGTAGAACAGAATCTGGAATAACGGCAGTTATGCTACAGCTTCTTTGACTATTCTTTATTCTATAGCTTTCCTTTCTTTTAAACTATTGCAAATATTGTGTTATTTTGTGGGGCAAAATTATTTAGGCTCATTAGTGACTTGATTCGAGATGAGAAGTTTCCACAGGTGAGGCAAACTAGTCAAACATGATGGCAGGTACTTAACGATGGCCGACCCAGTAGCTCAGTGGTAACGTGCTGGCCATGGGACTTAATGGTTCTGGGTTTCGTCCCCGGTGAAGTCACGGGTATGCACTGCCGAGGTGTCCCATACTAGGATGAGGCAGATGTCCAGTGCTCCCAGATTTTCAATGCTTCTCCAACCGATGTCAGTTCATGATGAATAACCAACTTGCAACATTTTATCACTTGTATGTGACTTTAATGAAATCCATTCTTTCTGAGATGGTTATCTTAATCATACGTAATACAGTTGTCTAAGTTTCTGAGACACTTTTTTCAGTCTGTTTATCAGAAATATCACAGTAAAACAGTAGCATTTACTGGATAACGTTTCGGACACAATTTACTGTCCATATTCATATCAGGTAACTCCACAACTTCGAGACAGTCTTTATACATTCCTAGTTTTCTCTCCTTCTCTGTGATGACAAGGGTAGTGGAATTTTCCAGATATCTGGGACAAGTGCAGAATCACTTCTTTTACTGCATGTGTTTGGTTTTCATTCGATAAACAAAGATAAGGTTATCAATCTCTCCCTCCACCCAACTAAGTTTTTAACGCTGTCGAACCAATCCCAATCTACTGTGTGATTATGTGTCATCACATGCAGAGCTATAGCCGAGTCTTCCTCTAGATTTCTTATCTTATTGGGATCTACTGATCTTGATTTAGCTAAGTTTTTGTGCTCTGTTATTCTAATCGGCCCTGGTCGACACATTCAATTACTTCATGTTTTCTTTTGTAAGTAGATTCCAATCTATATCTGTTTTGTGGGATGCAGATTGTTTTTCATAATTGGTTCTGTTAAAGTACAAATGTGAAAAATATTGAATTGTAGGAATTCATAGTAGTCAATGTGATGATGAAGTACACTTTAAGTTTGAAAATTACTGTTTATATGGAGTATCAAATACACTTAGCTCATAAAGTCATCATCATTATCTTGATTAATGTGTTCACCTAAATAATGTATGAAAAGAAATGATATTATCTTGATTATCTGCTACTTACTGATATTCACTCTCATAAATCTCGAACGAACTCACTCACCGGGAAGCAGGCACATCCAGCTGACTAGTCCCAAATAGGATGAAATGCACACCTGGATTCCACTGCTAGCCACTATCCATTATTACTATAACTAGAACTACACAGGTATATCGAGGCATCCGCACAGGATCCCATATGCCAATAGACACCTATCTATTCGGTCCAATCAACGACGGTATGATATAAAAACAATTATATATACTGAATATAAATTAGTTTGAATTTATGCGCGGATGTTTGTGTGCAACACGTAAATTGTATCTACTATTCAAAGTGAATGGTTTTAATTGAGATTTCGAACGCATAACAATATAAACATCCAAGCCATAGTTGTTACAAATCTTCTGCAAGAAGTTGAGCGCCATGCTTCATTCATGCTACCGCATCAATGACGAAAATGACAAACTAACCATTGGGAGTTAAAGCACAAAATTGTTAGTTATCGAGACTAGATAATGAACTCTTTCTTTTATATCAGTGGAATTGGTTCCCAACTATGCCGTTTTTTGTAAAATACATAATAGGCCAACTATTATTTCAGTCAAGTTAAATGAGGCTTAACAAATGTATACGAGATCGCTTACTAGGCTGATGGGTTGGCCAAGTAGGATTTGAAATTGTCACCCATCTGTTGAAAATCAGCACATGCAGTAAGTCATAACTCTATTTTAAGAATAGAACCGATTTCTTGTTATTACCTAGATAGTTATTAATCGAGTAAAAATTAATCGGGTAAAGTGAAGCATAATGTAAACTTATTTCAATATTGAAACAGTCAATGTTATCGACGAGTGGAAATCAAACCAAATAGAAGCTTTTATCAGATGGAATAGTATTATGATAGTCGCTCTATATCACAAATTAATCAAAGTAGAAAACTGTGAATCACGGAACTCCGCCTCAGTAGATGACTGGTTAACGCATTCGCCGAGAAATATGAGGGTCTTGAGTTTGTTCCTTAGGGTCGTGAGTGCTTACTGTTAAGGAGCCCTATACTAAGAGAAAACAGCTATCCCGTGCTCCCAGGTTTTCAATGGCTCTTCAACTGATTTCAGTCCATGATGAATATTACCTTATAAATAGTATAACTAATGTTAGCTAAGCAGTAATACAATGAATTTGGATAAAACAATTATGAAATTATAAGACAAATTCCAAAGACAATGATTTCTTTATATACATATCTGGGCTAAGAATGTGTGTTTATGTGTTTGTTTACTATGGATCAAGTAATCACTGTGTAGAGATGAGATAGATCAGTTTTTCCTCTGTTGATTCTAATGCCTTCGGCTATGTATAAGAGGCGTAGCCTTCCCCATTGGGGAGGTTGCAATGGACACTATATATCATAGAAAAGGCATGATCTACCTTGATTTTATATCCTCCATCTAATAGAAGCAAGATGGACTGTACTGTTGATGCACTTTGTCATTCCTTTCCTTAACCAAGCTGGTACATGTGCACCAGCGCGCATTGATAGAGCCCTTTGAGCTCGGTCTATGTGACTGGTTCTATAGGGGAGCAGTTGGACTTATAAATGCACATTGAGGTGGCCACCATTAGTAACCTATCCTTGGTTCGTTGTGTCAGTAATAGTTTAGTCGGTAAGGTGACAAAAAGTCTCGCTGTACTGAATGTTTTTTTGACACATTTACTCATCGTCATCTTAATATGTTAGAGGAAATATCACCTTTGAAACTTAGTCTTAACAACGTTACCCTTCTTTATTATCTCTCTAGGTCTCAGCATGTACATATTTATGAAGTTTGGTGCATAACCGGTTTACTCCAATGTTATTTTCATCTTATCCATTTCTTCTTCAATACAGTCATCAGAACATATGGTTCTTATTCTTTGACTTGGGCATTTGACTAGACTTCTTTTAATATTGAATTAATGTGAAGCTAGGAAACTTTATATATATATATATATATATATATATATATATATATATATATATATATATAGGATCAAAGTGTGTGGGTCAGAGGGGTACACCTGTGATGAACTTCAGCCTAAACAAGCGAAACAATCATCCATTGTTTAGGAACTTCGATTTGGTTAGCAAGTTTCATTGATTGACGTGAGTGATGTGAAACTATTCATATTAGCCAGTAGGCGTACCTCTTGCAGTTAATCGGTTATTTATTCCTTTTCGCTGCTGAGTGAATATTATTTTTACCATCTTTACCACGACGTTTGATACAAAGGTTCTGAGAATAAGCATTCTGCACCTGGGAATTACTACTCATAGTTAAGCAATAATACTATTTTTTCAATCTGGGGATTTACGAGGATTTATTGGTTTCAAGTTGGTATTCATCATAGACTGACATCAGTTGGAGGAACATTGGGAGCACTGGGAAGCTGTTTCGTTATATTATGGGACTTCTCACCATTGCGCACCCATGACCACGTCAGGACGAAACAACTGTTCAGTGCACCCAGGTTCCCAATGTTCCTCCAAGTGATGTCAGTCCATGATGAATACTAATCTGAAATCGTGTTTTTACTGAATAATCAGAAAAACACTTTAAGTCTGGAATGAATACACCTTATCATTAAGTTGTTATCATGATACTGCTATAGAATCATAATGAAATTAAAGAAAGCAATTCAGTAACTGAAGTATTGTTTTAAACTTGTCATGTGTCTTTCTGGCTTTGATGAGGAAACCAACCAACTTAGAAATTATCCCAACGGTCGGACAGTTCGAGTTATCCTCAATGAGACCAAATGTATAAAATCAGTATAAATGGACACATATTAATATAAAGTTGAAGAGTATGAAAAAGAAGAGTAAAACCGACTAATGGTTGATAAAATGTGATCATTGCTAGTCTTTAACAATTTGTTTAACTAGTTCACAGATTATAAACCGACAGTCAACACTGGTTTAGGTGCCCCCAACCAACAGCTTGAGACTTCCTAAACTGTTCTGATATTTTGGTCTAATGTACTCCAGGTGACATTGTACATTTGACTAGACGGTGTTCTACTTTTGGTTATTACTGTTATGCATCAATTCTACAGACATAATATACTTACTTTCTAAAATGTAATATAATTCTGTTCGAATGTATTTTTCCTTCCTATCTTAGGTGGTCTTATTGTACCTTGTGGCGCATTCGGAATATTAGTTGGTGGCCTTATTCTCAATAAATTTCAGTTTCGTCGTATTGGTAAGTTTTTTTTATTATTCTACTCACATTTTATAAGATCGAATTGTTGCTTCTTAACTCCAGTGTTATGTCACTGAAAGATTAGCTAATGGAAAAATTTTCAATATTTTTATTGATAGTTTATGCACAAATTAAGTATTACACCCTTGTTCAAAAGTGAATTGGTTTGTGGAATTAGGATGTTTTAGTCAATATCCCAACTTCATGGGGTTTTATGCACTTTAATAGTTATCACCTTTTAGAAGTAATTGTTTACTATATTCTAATTGAAAAACATATCTTCCATCGCAGCGTTGAATCGCTGGTGACAACTACTCGCTCGTTGAATATAAATATAGCTTTGTACTGGGTGATGATTGAAGGTAAGATGAAAATTTGGACCGCGGCCGGATTCGAACCAGTGACCACCAGGTTTCCGGCCCGATACTCTACCAATTGAGCTACGAGGTCCGACTGCTGACCAGATTCTTATCAATATGATGCTCTTCCTCTTTAATTCAGTTAGATTTAGATTTGGATGAGAAGTCCTGACCAGGCAGCCAGCGTGAATACGATCAGGTGGTAGTAACGCGTCACAAATTCTCATGATAGTCAGGCAAAACCCTTGGTGATTGAAGTAAAATAAAAATCTGGTTAGCAGTTGGACCTCGTAGCTCAGTTGGTAGAGCATTGGACCGGAAACTTTGTTGTCTCTGGTTCGAATCCGGATGCGGTTCAAATTTTCATCTCACCTTCAATCATCACCCAGTATAAATACTAGTCTGCCAAACTACGTCTATCTCATATAGTCAAAATGATAATACAAACAGTATCATTTTGATGTACCAATTAGGGAATGATCTACTCTACACAACTTGTTTCTTATCATAGGCATAAAATGATACATGGCATCCTAATGATTGACAGGTGTTTTAATTATGAATTTCCAAGTTTGATTCATTGCCTCAACGTTTCTATTCTGTGGATGATGGAAAGGGCTTTAATTGGGAGTTGTTTTCGTTTTTGAAATAATCATTTTTTTCCCATTCTATTTTTGCTTTTGATGGGTAAACAAACATTGAGTATTTACTAAAACTTGCTGGTCTCTCTCTCTCTGACTTTCACTTTGGCTAACGCTATTTTAGCTTCATTCTCATTTTTGTTGATGTAAATACTAAGGTTATTTAAATCTTGATGTTGTTATTTATTTTGTTCACCTACGTGAAGTTTTCTTCGATAAGAATTTTTCACTTTTCCTCTCCTAACTTCTAAGAGGAATGAATAGCATAAATGGGAAGCTTGGTAGGTTTAGTTATGATCCATACATAATCCGCTAGCAAACAGTATAAGTAAAGTATTATTTCAAACACTTTGCGAAAATAAGTTTTGAGCATTATAACACTAGGATTTGTAGTTAAGGATTCGGTTTTGACCATAAATTTACAAAGAGATTTGACTGTATGCAGGTATTCGAGAGAAAAAATGTGGCGTTTATTTTCAATCATTACATATATACTAAAATGGATCGATGAGGGGTGTTACTTTAATCTTCATGAGTCTATCATGGGATAATGTTGAATGGTAGGGATCAGTTGAAAGTCCTGGTTAGTCTAGGCTTCGTTCTTTTTGGCTCTGTTTAGTCTTAAAGGCCTATCTGTGACCTTGAGAAGACATATTCCATTGAGTACTTGAGTCTGAATTGTTTTAAGTCTGAAGTCAGAGACTAGAACCACTAAGTACAAGCAATAAATCCTCACTTTGAATTCTTTCGTTTCTTGATTTATCATCAGTTGAAAAGGGATTTGATGGTAATCGATTCATTTTTCTTCATTTGCCATTGTGTCATTTCACTTGGTATGAAGACTATAAACCTGACAAAGATTTTAGCATAACTTTAGCATGTTTAGGAAATTAAAACAATTTTTTTTAAGACTGAATAATTCCGTTACCTTCGTTGTAACTTACACGGAAAAAAGTTCAACACCCGATTTCGTTTAAAATAAGCTTAGTTAAATGCCTAAGTGATAGAGCGAAAAAGCTTACTAGTAGATCGGAAAGTCTGAGACAAGAAATTAGACGCATCAAGAATACCCTATATCTCAATAATTACCCACCAAAATTTATAAATAAATTCATAAGAAATCAAAAGAAAAATATTAGCAGTGGCAGTAGTAGTAGTAATACAGATGTTATTAATAATAATCCCGCTACTAGTGGTAATAATGGTGAGAGAGAATGGTAAGAGAGAATTCAAAGCCTTTGTCGTGTTACCATACAAGGAAGGCACCTCAGAAGCATTACGAAGAATTCTCAATGAGGTTGGGATTAAAGTGGCATTCAAATCACGAAACTCGCTTAGAAACAAGTTTTGTAGGTTAAAAGATACTATCGATGCAATTAAACGAAATAATCTGGTCTACCAGATTCTTTGCAATGATTGCGAGGTTAAGTACATAGGTCAAAGCAGTCGACCAGGGTCGATTAGAATAACAGAGCACAAAAACTTAGCTAAATCAAGATCAGTAGATCCCAATAAGATAAGAAATCTAGAGGAAGACTCGGCTATAGCTCTGCATGTGATGACACATAATCACACAGTAGATTGGGATTGGTTCGACAGCGTTAAACACTTAGTTGGGTGGAGGGAGAGATTGATAACCTTATCTTTGTTTATCGAATGAAAACCAAACATATGCAGTAAAAGAAGTGATTCTGCACTTGTCCCAGATATCTGGAAAATTCTACTACCCTTGTCATCACAGAGAAGGAGAAAATTTTAGGAATATATAAACTGTAGTATAATTGCTTGTATTATACCGTCGTCGATTGAGCCAAAATGGGTTGATATTGCCTGTGTTTGAATTATATATAGTAGTGATGGATAATGGTTAGCAGCGGAATCCAGGATGCACATTTCGTCCTATTTGGGACTCGCCAGCCGGATGTACTTGTCTCCCAGTGAATGATGTTGTTCCCACCGGGACTCGGGAGCTATCGCTTCAGGCGCCAGAGCGTGATCCACCACATGAACATAATACAAGCAATTACACTAAAACTACCCGTCGCAGAAGAAGTGGCTCGGTGGTATAGTGGATAACGCTCTGGCGTTTGAAGCTATAGCTCTCGAGTCCCGGTGGAAACAACATCATTCACTGGAGACAGGTACATCCGGCTGGCAAGTCTCAAATAGGACGAAATGCACCCCCTGTATAATGAATATTCGTTATTACTGTTTTTTGATATGATTTTGATATTCCGTTGTTATACCGGATCGAATTTTTGACCTCTGTGGGCATATGGGCTCCTATATATATATATATATATATATATATATATATATATATATATATATATATATATATATAGTTATAACTAGTAACTATTAGTATAAGAGGTGGACGTCGTACCTCAGGGACCTAGTGAGTGGTTCTTTGGCGTTTAAAGCTATGAGTGCGAGGTTCGAGTATCAGTGGGGACAACATCACTCACTTGGGTGCAAGCACATTCACCTGACTAGTCTTAACTAGTACGAAACGCACATCCTGGATTCCTCTGCTAGCCACAATCAAGTGAATTATATTAATAAATATTCAGGCAATGTCGAGACATCCGCATAGGAGTCTATATGCCAAAAGAGGTAGAACAATTCGACTCAGCATAACAACTGAGAATTAGAAGTATATCAACAAATAATTGTATACAAAGTTTATTTGTATGAAATTCGATCGAAATTCTGCTGAATAGTTTTATAAGGATTGGGCGTCGATTAAAATGTTAGTGTTACCAGTTGTATAAATCTGGACATCTTTAAAACTAAAATATTTTAATATTTCCTTAAACAATCTGAAAACAGACTATCAAGCAAAATAGAAAAGTTATTTTATGTCAGAAGATGAAATTTAAAAGAAAGGTCTATCTATTTTATGGTATGAAGATCATTTTAATATGATGGAATAGCAAGCCTGCAAACTAGGCCAGGTATACAAATATGCTGTACTTTCTCTTTCGCAGTATGTAACTGTGGGATATTGCTATTGCCAGCTAATGACATAACAGCATAGTTAGGGTTCGGTTACTTGAATGTAAGTAATGAACCATTAATAAGCCATGCTGGATCTAGATTTCATACTTGCTGACACTGACTGACTTCCAAACATAAACCTAACCACTAGGTAACTGCTGGTTTTTTGATAGTTCAAGCTTGCGTCACTTTATTCTATTAAACCGTTGAAAATGTAACTGTCCACCTTTAACACTAGATTATGATGGGAATGGATAACTAAGGTAGGTGAATTAATCACTGAGTGATACAGATTTTAATCTCTATGGGGGGGGGGGGGGGTGGATATCAGTTGCCTCAAAAGTGCAGATACACTCTGATGATCCACCACTGCCAGTACACATGGTAGGTCAGATAGAACTTCCTGTTGACTGACTCGTAACACCTAACTCCTAACATACAATGCAGTGTAATGTTATGGCACTTAGTTTAGTGGTTGAATCGAAAAACTCTTGGTCGATAGGCTTCTACCAGTGCAGCTAGCACTGAGAACTAACCACATATATCTGTTGCAATCCGGTTACCAGTTTATGTAATTATTGCCTTCAAAACACTCATTGTCTCCCCTGGAACTATCTACTGAATGAATAATATCCAATGTCGATATTATGAAGCATAAAATGATATGGCTTTCTAAGATCATTGAACAAAATGGTTAGTTCATTGCAACTGTTGATATAGGTCCTATTTCTCATAAGTAACCGAGTGAATTTCAATGAAGTCTGTTTAATCTTCAAGCTTTACAGTCATCTCATGGCATGATTATATTTGTTTTCCATTGTAGCATAGTGAACTATGTTAACGGATGTTTTGGCAGGGTGATAAATGCTCTTTGAGCACGTGATTTTTCATCATATGATCTCTTCTTTATACTATCTATTGCCATCGTTGTATTTTATTTGGTGAATTTCTCATTCCATTGGTTTGTGTTTCTCTCTCTCCCTTTAACCTTGAAGTTATT